TTTCAAGAAAAACAAAAACTACAACACAGTGTATGTCAAAGGAAGTGTGCAAGAGCTTGATAGTGAATACATCTCTGGCCTGCAGAGGTTTATGCTAGAGGCGATGTTTTTCTGTGCTACTGTGAATAAGACAGAAGATGAGTTTTATCTCATGAAAAAAAAGCAACGAAGACTCTCAAAGGGGACATTTAGGCACCGCTCTGACTAAGTAGCTCAACCAAACTTCAAACCAGCTCCTATGGTCCTCATAGCACCAAAACACATACTTTGGTCAGGATGAAGCTGCTCTAGAACCCAGCTTGCTGGGCAGCTTTTGCAGACTGACCCTGCCACAGCTACACTACTATTAATACTCAACTACTTAGTCTCAAAGAACGTGTGCTTGAACTGCAGCCACACATTTTGCTCCAGTTCAGACACATCTTTAGAGAAACTAAGAGAAATGTTAGACATCTGGACACTATCTAAATCTTCACATTCAGGCAGGCCAAAACGCCCCGATTACAGTGACAAGAGGATGACGCTGCTACGGACTGTAAGCAAGAAGGAAGATAAACAGACGGAACTGGGAAAGAAGCCTCAGGTCTACATTTTCATTACGGTGAGCATGAACAGGCAATTAAACATTGACTAAGCACCAGAGAGATAGACAAGGTTGTAGTTATGTAGCAGATCATACACCAGATCTGTGACACATCATGAAAAGTCTCTGGAAGATAGAAACAACCAGCCCAAAATATTTGTTAGTAGAAAAAAACCTGATGGAATCGTAAGAAATAACAGACACATCATTAGTAGCTTTTTGTGTCTCTCTACTTTGACATGTTTTAGTCGAGGGATTACAAATCAGACTACATAAAATTGAAGAGGAAAAAGATATTAACATAAAATGCTAAATATGAATAAATAGTTTCCTTCTAAAGTTAAAGATAACCATGCAAGTGCTCCTTTTAACCAGAATGTAGGACCAAAAAAAAGCAGGAATAAGCTATAGCATATATATAAGTCACAGATGTACAACAGAGGTCATCCAATGCCTTCAAGTACACTAATGCTGAACGACATAATGCAGAGTGAAGTATATACTTACATGATAGAAAGTCATTAATGGTCAGGAATGTTTGTCTAGTTCCAACCAAAGAGTACAGACATGAGAAAACCAGTCGTTATTGACCACTATACACTGAATTCTGCAATTTATATTAATGCTACAACAGTACATTTGTGGGTCAGATGAGTTATGATGATTGCTTAGGTGATTAATGAAGATGAATCCAGCTACTGCCTTTTCATTAGTTTCTTACAGGTACAACATTGTACCCATTACATCTGTAATCATCTAAATAGCACAAACTAAGTCAGTTAGAACTTACTGTTGCAGTAACCCCTAAGTACTGCAAGATGAATTAAAGTGTGTTTGGTTTATTTTTTTAATAGCAAAGTATCAACTGGATCAACTATTTCAAATGAAACCATTTAAATTGATTTATTTTTCAATAGTCTTGAGTAGCACTAACATTTTCCTGTCTTAGTGTATCATCTGTTTGGCAGTTCCTTACTGTAACATGAATTTTATTTTGCAAGAAATAAAATGACTAATTAAAAAATTTTGCTTGCCCACAAAAAGTTCTCTCAACTTGGTTAACTGTGGACCATGAACTGGCAAATGCTAATAATACTCCAAAAAAAGAGGAGAGGATTTAAAACCAAGAAAAAAAATGTTTTTTGAAAGTAAGTTGGTTTAGTGTACCTTGTGAACCAAGAAAAATGGATTCCTAATTTCTAATATACGAGGTCTAATCTCTACTGCCATGCATATTGATGTCATTTATGCCTTCACAACACATCAACAACACAGCACCAGATCTAGCAGCACTTTACAATTATTTTGCAAACCTACAAAAAGACTGCAAAGACAAAGCAAAGTTGACTCAGTATAGAAGAATGTCCTTTATCAAGTTACAGAACTAAAATATCATTATTTCTCCCCTCATTCCAAACCCCCAATTGTTTGTTTAACTACTGGAGAATAAGATAATTGGCAACACAATACTAATGAAGGTGTTTTACATACAGGATAGAGAAAGGTACTTGCACACAGATAACTTGCACGAAGTCGGAGGCCAAACCAAGGAGAAGTAATTGGTGTGAGGATGTTGGCTGTATGGTTTCAGAGTTACGGAGGCCCATGAGAGGGGGGAAAAAAAAAAAAACACCACCAAAAAAACCCAACCCACAAACAAAAACCACAGACTATGAAGGATAAGAAGCAGGAGAAGGTTAACTGTGGGAAAGGGTAAACTTCTGCTCATATCATATATAATTATCACTCCTGCTGAATCGCAAGGAAGGAAAAGGGGGGGGTGGATTTAAAATACAGTGCTTATAAGAGTATGTTGATCTACTGCTGCTGTGCAAGTGACTACAAAATATGCATAATGTAATACACGGTAACGTAGATGACTATGGTATCAAGTTAAGTAATTTCAAATTAACAAATACTATAATTACCTTAGGCCTCAAAATTTTGTATGAAAAATAAATGATTTTTAAAAACAGGCTCCTATCTCCTTTCATCCTCAATAGATAATATTTAAACTATTTCAGTAAACTTATTTTAAGCATTATGTGGTATTTAAAAGACACTGAGCAACATAAAAGTGAATTTTCAATTCTTCCATTCTCAAGTCTTACCCTGTAATTATTACAAAATACACAAAAATAACACAATACAGAAATCATGTCTAAGTTTCCACATCTGTTCATTGCTCAAAACTTGCTTCTGTTTCATAACAGACTATCAAATTGTGTTGCTGTCTTCTAATCTGTATTGCACTCTACCCATGTACCTGATCCTACGTAAAACAAAGGATTGCAAAGGACTAATTCAGAGATATTATGGATGGGCAAATCTGCCATTTAGTCTACCAATCCTATTGTGTCTGAGTTTCATCTATACTCCAACACCATATACAGGCAAATAATCAGACAAAAAAACATTAACTAAATGTTTGGGCACAAACAGAAAAAAAATTTCAATTTTCTAACAGGATGTGGTACTTATTTTTTCCCCTTTCCCAGGGCAGGTCATTAGAAAGCTCTTTATAAAGGCTCTTCTACTTAAAGCTTTAAATGAAGATACTTAATTCACTGGGAGAAGAGATGGCACTTCAGGTACTCATGAAAGAAGCAAGAATATAAGCGTAGGAGTATGCCAAGGGAGTTGTTAAGAGAATGGTTCAAGAGGAGTGAAGGGGGTGGAAGTGTAGGAAGAGACAAGAACAGACGTAGGCTGAAACATTAAGAGTTTGCATTAAGAAATGCAAACTCGATATACAAGTAGTAAAAAGTCATGGGGGGATATGATATCAGAGGAGCTACAGAGGAAGGCAGGAGTGGTGGCAATGTGGATGGACTTCACAAATCAAGCTTTACTAAGCCATTTTGCCTGTGGCAGCACTAAGGCAGGAAGACGCTCAAGCGTGACTAGAGAGATTAGAACCAGGAAGAATAATACCATCAGGTAAGCAGAGGTATCAATATACACAGTGAGAACTGCTCTCCAATCACAAGCAGAAGTACAAACCACATACTGAAAAACCGCTTCGGAAAAACATTTTAAGGACAATTTTCTGTAGCAATTGAAAAGAAGGAAAAGAATGTACCTGTTGGGACTCTTGAATAAAAATGTTGTAGGGAACAACTTAATTTCTTCTCTGTTTAAATAAACTGCAAACCAAGCGACTGTTTTTTGATGCATTTACATTACGGGCACAGCCTAAACATGGCAGTGGTCTAGCCTTGAGCATGTAAACTGGAAACCAGAAAGGAGATGCATGTTCCAGCAGCACACTGAGCTGTGTGTAACCTCATCTTATGCAGAGGCAGTGATGTGTTTAGGCTGTGCTGCACCAAGTTACAGAGACATGCTCTTTTACTGCCTCCATGAGGAGATCCACGTGCACTGTCACAGACTGTAAAATATTTTCTGGCAGATCACTTGCGGCCTGAACTTTAATATCCCCTAGGGATGCATCCAGTGAATGGATCTCACAAAAAAGTAAAATAAATAGTATCAGTTTTAACAGCAACTGACACGCAAAGTGTTATTTAGTTTATCGGGGCAAAAGAAAATAACATATACCTTCACTGTTAACAATAACTTATATTTTATTCTTATTATATGGAAAAGAAAAACCCTTAGGAAGAATTTTTATATGTAATACACACACCAATAAAACACATCTGGTGTGGGGAAGAGAGCAACCACCAACCAAAACACAATATATAGTATAAGAAACACGAGAACCCTTTTTCTTAACAAAAAATGGCATCAAGTCTTTCATATTCTTCAGGCGATATCTCTCTATAGCAAACAGTCCACCCACAAAAGGTCAGAATCTAGTCATACTATTCAGGAAAAAACATTAGTCAACCTACTGGGAAAGGCATACACTACAATATGTTGCAAAAATTCCTATCTAGGTCACTCCCTTACATCACAGAATCCTTGAGACTGGAAGGGACCTCCTGAGACCACCTAGTCCAAACTTCTGCTCAGAGCCGCAGAGCAGGTCACCGTATCGACTGAGTGATTATAAAGAATAAAATATGCACATAAAAGTATTTCTTACAACATTTTAAGTAACTTGAAGCACGTGATTTATCAAATAGGGCACTACTTGTTCATTTGTTTGGAGTTTTTTTAATATCTTAATGAAAGAAAAATAGGGCCTAAGTGCTACTTTTACGATGTGCTGTCCTGCAGGTATCCCTGCAGTGCCTGCAGATGTAATTGCTTCAGATTCTAACACGTCTCGAGATGGGCCGTATATGATTACAATCCAAGCAGGCCTGCAGACAGCTTTTCTATACTGAGCATGCACACCAGTATCGCTTGTGGAAAAAGAAATGGGCTACAGGTGTGTTTGTAAGAGAGGTCACATACAAGGCAAAACTTCATAAGGTTTGAAATATAGTTTATAGAAAATAAGACTCACTTGCCACCCCAGATGCAATTCCGTAAAGCAGTCCTCCTCCATCTGTTTGCTGCTGAAAGACATGGGTCCCTGGAGGAGGGCTTCTTTCTTGTCTAATGAAATTATATAGTAAAGTTTTCACAAGTCTGCTGGTATATGGGAGACTGAAAAGAAAAAGAAAACAGCTTTAGTTGACTCACAGCTTGCAAAAAATTGGCACAACAAAGCCCAGGCAGTGTGCAAAGGCTGGTGTTTGGCATTAAACACGGACAGTAACTCTCCCAGTGCTGAGCAGACTGAAAAGGAAAAGAACGCCAAGGTCTTGCCTATGCAAAGATGCACGGACTTCAGCAGGGCTCTGCAAAAGCACCTTCAACAACAGGATCATGGAAACTATTTTTTGTTTTCTTTTTTCAATATCACTTTTAAACCAATCACGTAATTTGCGGACTCGTATTCTTTTACCTCAAGACACAACGGGAAAAATATTTACACAAGAGAAAGAAACATTGTATTTGTTTAGTTTTCCCTCCATGCTTTGGTTACATAGAACAGGTAACAACAGCATTTCTCCACACCCCCAATATTTTTGTCTGTGTGCGTGGCTGGGGCCAATTTGCAAAGACCAACAAAACATCTGACCTCACATCAGTGAGTTTGACAAACGCACGTAAAATTTGTTGGTTTTAAACAAAAGGTTACAATATTTCCAAAACAGAGAAGGATTTCCACAGAGGCAAACAGTTGGTTCCCATTCCCATATGATTTAGAGGTGAACAGACAGGGGCTATGTTATGATGAACTCCAGTCCCCTCTAACCAGTCCCCCTCCAGCTCTTCGCATTGCCCTAGATTCCCAGTCACCGAATTCCCACGCCTGTCTCCAGAGGCCAGGTACCTGCTACTCCCAACTTAGACCTACACATACTACCTCTTCTCCCAAGCATTCCCCATTTTGCCCCAAACCCTCAATTCCTTTGGTGCTGAGATTTAAGTACCACCAAACCCCACAAATACCTCTTCTGCCTCCAGCTGCTCTGCCCACATATTGCTGAAGTTTGCCCTGTGCTCCCTCTGCCCGCAGGCAAGCTGAGCCTCCCTCCTTTCCCCACGTGTCACCCCAAAGCAGTACCTCTCTCTTACATCTAGCAGAAATTTCAGAAAAACAGACAGAGACATTTACCAAAAATCTGCCCACATGGAATTTAAAGTTGAAAGAGGATGAACGGTAGCCTGACTAAAATGCGTGTAAGCCACCATGACAAAGCATTTAAACAAAACAACCCACTCGCCAGAACAAGTAGTATTACTCACAGGACCGAGTTTACCACCTGCTAAGTATTTCCACTATTGCAGCTTAAACTCAGCATAGCACGTATTTGCAATCTTTCGAGGGGCTGCTATTTATTTGTATTGCAAGAAGGCTCATTAGCACTTCTGAGGTACACAGGTTCTCTAGACTGCAGTGTTACAGGAAAAGACCCACAGCTGAAACAAAAAAGCCATCCTGAAAAGTAAAAGCTGTTTTAAGTTAATGAAATTACCAAAAACAAAAATGGCTTCCAAAATAGTCTTACTGAAGTCTGGGCTGTGAAATTTAAACCTGAAACCTTCCAGCAGCCTTTACAAATGTTTGCTTTCGTGTTCTGTTTTCTTTCGAGCAGAACAAGTTCTCTACCAAAATGTATTTCACTGTCTTTTGTTTTCAAGTACAAACAGCCTCAACAAGCGATCAGAAGCATTTGCTTTGCCATTAGGTACCACCCCAGAACACAACATACCATCGACCATGCATCAGGTATTTGTGAATGATGCTCTCTCGCAGAATTTCTTTGTGGAATAATTGGCAGGAGAGGAAGACAATGAGAGTTGTCACAGCTTCCAAGGAAATGCTGTATGTAATATCTCTGCAGGAAAAAAAAGGAAAATTTATGGAGATTAATCTACTGGGTTTGTTTACAAAATGACTTCCAAGAGCACTCGGTAGCTTCATCTGAGGTTATACACCATTTAGCACAGCAAGTTTCAATTGGGAACACGTAAACAACAAATTCAAAAAAACCCCACTCAAAAAGCAACATCTCTTCATAACAACAATGGGTTGTTTTTCTTAGATATAAGCTTTCCCCCCTCCCCCAATACGCCAGAAGACAATGTAAAAACATTGAGGTATTGCCCAGAACATTCCAGCTGCAATTTCCAGACTACGCTTCACTCTAAAAATAACAAATATATCTCAAAAGCATGTCCTTTGTCCTGTTAAATAAAATTGTCACAAAAACATCATGCTAAAGTCAGGGAAAAGTCCAGCTAGGCAAACACAGATCCATCTGCCAGGAAAAGTGGATCCCTAAGAAAGGAATATAATGCACAAATGCTAGTTTGTGTAAGAAATGCTCAGAATATCAAGATACTACATACAATTGTTGAGTTTTAAATGGTATTTTTGAGGTAACGGTGAAGTCTGAAGATATTACAGCCAATCCCAAAGAATGTGCTGTACTGGTTAAATGCTGATACCAGACAGTTTAGCAAAGCTCATTAAGTTAAGGTTAATTAGGAAAGGCTGTGCAGCAAAATGGATGAGAGATCTACTATTTGGGATATCTTGTGCTTTCTGTTCCCACCTCAGCCTATAATGTCTTTGTGACATATCTTATTTTTAAAAGGGGAAGAAAAATGGCATTTGCCTCCTTAATCAGCCATAGATTGCAGACTACATAAAACCTTTTAAAACACAATGAAATAACTTGGACGTGAACCAGTATCGTTCTTGCTTTCAACCAAAGACCATTTCTACCTCCTCCAAAAGTAAGGAGATACTTCATTTGGTGTAACAGTACCATGCTGTAATCCATTAGAAAGATTGTCATTAAGTACTTTTAAAGTTTCCCCCACTGTTACTATTTAATTTCCACTGTATGCTTCACAATCGAATATCATTAAGTTACCAAAGCTGTCCAGCATCAATTATCAAGGGTTTTTTTGACCTGGGACCTACTGGAAATTCAAAATCTATTTATACTTCTCAAATTCAAAGATTTTATAGTATCTCTATCTAAAATTAAAAAAATGAAAAAAAAAATCAGCATCAATGCGTGTTTAAGCAATGATGCTGTTTTTCTTTGTTACAATGTCACCTTCCAAAAATTTTATTCTTAAGAGTTAAAACAAGCATAAACATAAAACTAAGTGCTCTTTCAAATAACAATGACTTGAAAACTACAGTGCAATCTCTCTTGAAACAAGACAAATTAACCACAGAAAAGACTGGCCGGAGTAAAACTCTTCATTAGTCTCAGGGTCAGAACCAGTGTGGTCCTTACCAAAATGAACAGGATTTCATTTAGAAGAAATCAGTCTGATTTTTAGCACACTCAAATACTTTAATGTTCTCAAGTGTGCTGCTAGAAATACTGTAAATAACGTGCATTACTGTAAAGCATGAGAAGAAGAGTTTCATGCATCACGGTGTATAGACAGCTTAAGTTAAGTGCTTCTGCAGTAGCTCTAGGCCAGAGTTTCTGAGCAAAGAGCATACTAGAGATTTGCTAAAAGTCAAGAGCAAACTGGAATCACAATTACCTGGATCACAGTCCACAGAACCGCACTACCTCTGATATAAAAATGTTTTGAAAGTGAAGGTTATGCAAACTCTCTGGTTTTGTTTTCTCTCGCATAATTTAAGTATTTGAATTTGTAACATTTTAAGTTATATATGTCAGGAAGAAAAGTACTGCTTGAATAACATTCTTCCTTAAAATCATGCAGTACATAGTAATTACTTTTAGTTTTTGTGAGTTACCTGACTTTTTGCCCACTACTGAGGAAGTTAGCCAGTGTAAATGCTGATAATTAGATCAGGCCAGAGGTTACACTGTGATCTGGTTCCACTGCAAATTCATCTCAGCCAGAAACAAGGCTGAGCTAGGAACAGCTCCCACTCCCTCTCCAGAACAGTGATGCTTTGCAATCCACTACCCATGTTCATCCCAGGCAAAGCAAGGAAGACCAATATATATGGATTATTAGAGGTTTAGCCACCAGCAAAAAAAATTAAGAAAAGTTCTTCTATCAAAATAAAAACAACAGCTTGGAAAAAATGCTTTTTAGCTATAGAAAAAAAAAATCAGAAGTTTATTATTACCAAGGCTCAGAATACAAGAATAACATCTCCAACCCTGAGCTGATGAATGAATAGGCTAACTTTGTGACACACTACAACATCCACTGGGTCACTTTGCTGAGGGGAAACAAATTTTAGAGTCTACTATACTTTTTCTCCATTTCAATCATTCATTCACTTATTTTTCTGACAAACCATACAAGTGGAATAGCAAATTTGAGGAGACATTACAAAATTATTTTCTATTTTTCTAAGATTCAGTGTAAAGAAATAAACAAAGAGGTTACTGTAATGTATTAAGTACATTTTTGGGGAAAAAAAGACCTGCTTTCAATACCCTTATATAACTCTGAAAGAAAAAAAATAGAAAGAAAGCTGAATTCATACAGTTCCAGTTAGTCAGTTATTCTCATTTTCTTTCGATTCAAAACCCAGTTAGGGCACATTTAACTGCAGAAACATTCCACTCAACCTGTAGAATCTGTTCAAATTAAATCTGCTCTGACATAAACACAACCAGAGTCCTGATGGCTGGGGTAACCCCTCAGCTACAGTCACCCTTAATTTATCAGCACAAGGATAAAGCTTCAGAGCAAAATTATTTTCTCCACCAAGGGTCAAATATACAGTTTTCTGAAACTCAAGCATTTCTAAAGGGTCACAAGAACTACCACGAACCTCTTTTAACTTCAAAGAAAATACTGTTTATTTATATTGAGAGACTATAGAATAGGGGGGTTTGGTTTTGATTTTTTTTTTTTTTTATTCAAAGCTATCAGTCACATAGAACAACTTTACATGGAATTTATGCTGATCTCCAACTTCCTCTGAAAACTGTTTGCTTGCAGATAAGGAGGAAACTAGAAATAATGAACTCATGTATCAATTACATGTCAAAATTATTTAGCTATTTATTTCAGAAAACCAGAACTGCACGATGACTTGAGCTTCTGTGGGGTGTTTTTTTTTTTCCTTCCAAAGTGTCTTCTAAAGCAAACAAAATCCACAGAACTCAGATAAAGCTCATGTCCCAGGAATATGGACTTCATAGACCAACGTACCAAAGCATACACAGGTTTGCGGTTTCCCCCCCACCCCTCGTTCTGGATTTTCTCTTTTGGAGGTTTCAATAGTTATTCTCACTTATTTTTTTTCCTTTTTCTCTCTCTCCTTCACACTGGAAGACATATTCCCATATCGGGTAGACAAGCTAACAAATATTATTCTTTTGTCCCTCTTAAGACATACTTTTTTCATGAGGGAACAATGTGGCATAGACTGAACTCTAGAAATCACGGCAATCGTTTCTCTCCTGCGTTTGGGTTCTTTCCTTATTACAAGTAGCTGTCCTCCTTGGTTATCACATTTCTTACACAGTGACACAAAGCAAGCGCCTGTTTCTTTAACCAGATGGAATAGGTCCAGGTTCTTGTGACACCCAAGTTAAAACTGATTTCTGGCAACAAACCTTATATATACACATTTAGTCTCTAAAGCAAAGATATCATATGTATCCGTTGTTATTGTAAATTATGAATTCTTTAGAGAATGACAACTTGAGCTACAAAATGCAAGACTCCTAGACGCTAGCATAACATAAATGTGTGCATATCTTTAACACACTTTTTAGTATCTACATTTCGATGAGAAACAGTTGATAGGTCAATGGATTCCTTCCAAAAGCAATGATACCAGATCATTTCAATGAATGCTTTTAAACAACCATGTACAATTTGTATTAATCTTCAGGTGACAACTCATTAAAATCTAATGACAAAAATTCTAGTAAGTCAGCGACACTTTCCATCTTAATCCCTTTTGTCAGATAGATAGCAGAGATCCTGGGCTCCAATTTGAGACACCTATGGCCCTGGGAGTACTGCTTAAAGCAGCACTGCATTTAAACTTAAAAGAAGTACTGCTTTAGCAGAAATTGGTAGAGTAACTAATTCTTCCAGGATACAAACTGGAAAGGATATCACTTCTCTTCTGGTCTTCCATCAAGAACATACATTTTTATTGATTTATTTCATTTATTAATTGTGGTGGCAGACTTGTGAATTCCATCAGAGCTATCAACCTTCAGGCATTTGGGGCTTGAGAATGGCACCAGACCATCTATCTGCGTATCACACCCTCACAAGGTTTTGTTGGCTTGAACTGGACCAAGATTTTACCTTGCCCTTTTACAGACACTTATTTCAAATATATCACAATGCTGATACTGTCTTAAAAAGTTCCAAATGTCTGAAAAAGAGGTCTATGGTCAAAACAGTAATCTTTAACAAAAATGAAAGATCTTCTTTGTGGTGGAAACAGGAAAAGAGCACGCACAAGCAGCCAGTTAAGGCAACCTGCCTGAGCAATAACTCTTCCAACTGCAATAGCTTGAACACTTGCCATTACTTGCACCCACAGACAAGTGCTCACACTAAATGGTACCACATAACAAACAGATGCCACACCATGACACATCACTAGGTTTCAAAGTAGATTTCTTCTGAGCTACAAAGAAAACGCTGGAATCTGAAGCAGACCAAAACATGAAGATCATAATAGCAAGGCCGTCTGTCAATCACAGCCCGTGGGGAAAATACGAAAACCAAAATATGCTTGTCTACTCCTGCAGACTCAAGTAAAAGCAACAGAAGCAGTTCGCCGGAATCTGATGCTACCAGCAGCTTATGCATTTGAGTTGGTAAGGGGAGAGGTATTAGTGTAATTACTGTTTCCAAATGATGCAATCGCCCCCCATAGAACAAGAACTATGGTCCTGTCAAA